AATATTCAATTCAATATTCATCATTCAATATTTACTCATATTCAATATTCAATATTCAACATTCAACAATATCCTTAAACTATTCTTAGTCTAAGGCCAATCACTTTAATATTTGTCAACCCTTAAACGAATTCTAGTTTAAATAATTAAACTATATTCCAGTATAAAATATTCCTAAATAATCCTTAAGCTAGGCCTAGTTTAAGATAAAAGGGTTTTCAAAATCTTAAACTTACCTTCACTTAAGGCCAACCAAAAACCGACAGCGTAGTGTTCACTGTTGGGTGGGTGGTACCCCCAAACGAGTAGGTACTCAAGTTTGGTTCTTGGATCCCGTACGTGCGTTTTAACCCTAGCCACCGGGGTTCATACCCGCAAGGCCTAACTTAAATAGGTATATCTTAGAGGTCTTCTAGATACCTTTAAAATCAACATGAATATGGGTATATCTTAGAGGTCTTCTAGATACCCTTAACAATACATTTTATTTTCACAATCATCAATATATTCATTATGATTTAATCATTCACAATTATCCATTCACAATTATCATTTTTAATCAGAATATTCATCAAGATTCAATCATCATAATAATCAATCAATAATCATTACCATAATCATCAATCAACATAATATTCAATAATAATTAGCGACCTAGCTTCGAGTGTTAACACCCTAACTTACCGTCATGCATCACATAACATTTTTATTTGTTAAAAAAAAAATTTTATTATGGTTAATCATTTTTCCAATGATCATAATCAATTGGTGGATTTTAGAGCATATATTTTCCGAATATTTTCGGAACAGGATCTCGACTTAAGAAAAATCGATTTTTATTAAAAAAATAATCAATTAATACCTAAAAATCGATTTTTATATTTAAAATAATCCATTAATAGCTAAAAATAGATTTTTATATTTTAAATAATTAATTAATTGCTAAAAATCGATTTTTATATTTTAAATAATCAATTAATTGCTAAAAATCGATTTTTTTATTTTAAATAATCAATTAATTGCTAAAAATCGATTTTTATATTTTAAATAATCCATTAATTACTAAAAATCGACTTTTACAATATAAATAATCGATTAATTCATAAAAAATCGATTTTTACAATTTAAATAATCCATTAATTCATAATAATCGATTTTTACAATTTAAATAATCAATTAATTCATATTAATCGATTTTTACAATTAAAATAATCGATTAATAACGTTAAATCGATTTTTATGATTAAAATAATCGATTATTATTATTTTTAAATATACTGACTATCTGAACAAATTTTTAATCGATTATTAGGAAGGAAAAAATCGATTTTCGGCCACTGTTCATCATCTTCTTCCTCTGTTCAATTTTTAACATTATCATTTTTAATTACCAAACTTCAATTAAGTTATATAGAAATGTTCCCCAATGTTCACAGATCATTTTAGAGTCATTAATTTGTAGTTTTAACAACAATTTCTTAGTTTATGATTCTTGGTTCTTCAAACATGTCAAACATAAAACTCAACCAAACGACCGTTTATGAACGTAAAAACGATCTATACGAACATTCTAATCACTAGATATATCTACGGGCTTACCTCGAAGGTAAATGAAGGTTTTGAATATTTTCCGGTGAAACTTCCGGCGAACACCACGTCTTGTTCTGGCGACCTCTCACCAAATTGACAGCACCACTGCGTTCTCCACACTCAAGGCTATCTCTCAGAATGAATTTGATGAAGAATGGTGAAGAAATGGTGAAGTTGGGTTTCTTATATAGTAAAAGAATGGAGGAAGAGGCCAAGGTGATGATGTATCTGTTCCTGTTTCGGCGTCTCAGTGGAGGGGGCTGCCATATTTCTTCTATTCCAAACGCAAGTCCCTGATTGGGACTAATTTGGTCCCAGTCGGGGAACACTTTTTGGTCCAACTTTCTCCGAATTGAAATCCGATTGTACCGTTGCGATCAGACAGTTAAACTCTATCTAACGATATAATTTTTATATTTATTCTTTATACTTTTTCCGACATCATATTTTTGGGTGGTTGACTTTGACAGAGTCAAAATTGGTTTAATTGACCTTTATTAAAAAAAGGTTCTCACATTTAATCCATGATTTATTTCAATAAATCATTTCAAAGTTTACATTATAAACAGTTTCTTCATTTATTCTTAATTTGGGTCTGTACTCAGGTTCCCAATCAAGATCACACAATAAATCAACATGTTGGATTTATCTCTATGAGATTTATCCCAATTATGTTTATTGGATATCAATATATATTTTATTTCAGCCCAAAGCCCAACAACAATTTATTTTAACAAAACAAATTTTGTTTAATTGAATATTTAATTCAATAAATTTTAGGGTATATTTTGGGGCGTTACAATATTGGTTCACAATCCCCTGGGACTTACAAAAGTCATAAAATGCCCCAGGAGCTTGACCCACATCAGTATGTCTACCATAATATTCACCTCCTCTATCTGATCTTACAACTTTTATCTGACGATCAAGTTGTTTTTCAACTTCAGTTTTATAATCTTTAAAAGTTGTAAGTGATTCAGATTTTTCCTTAATAAGATACAAGTACATATATCGAGAATAATCATCAATATAAGTGATAAATGAGTTATGTCCAGTTATGCCAGTGATAGAGTAAGGACCACTAATGTCAGTGTGAATGAGCTCTAATAAATTAGAACTTCTAGTGGCACCTTTCTTATTCACTGATGCCATTTTACCTTTAAGGCATTTGACAAATGTTCCAAAATCATTGAAATCGAGAGATGGTAACACTTCAT